CCCAAAATGCACCACAGAGCGCCACAGGAAGTCATTCCTGCCTGTGGCCATTAAACTCTATAATTCCTCCCTTTAAGTGTCTGACACACGGACACTTAGTTATTAAACTGGACATTATTATCTGTTTTGTGCAATAACACCTGCTTAATTACTTAATGTGCAACATTCTCTGCTGCAATTCTGCTACTATTTATTCCCTATTACTGTTATACCCTATAACAATTCTTTTAATAATGTAATAATGTATTTATGTTTTCTTTGTATTTTATATTTTTACTCTGATATTTATATACTTCTTTATATATCAACTTTCTATTATTGTTTATATTCCTTTTGCCTTGCTGTGCAATGTGTGCAACTGTGACACAGAATTTCCCCTCGGAGATGAATAAAATATTTCTGATTCTGAATGGCAAGCGTCATGTCTGGAGGAAACCAGGCACCGCTCATCACCTGGCCAATACAATCCCTTCAGTGAAGCATGGTTGTGGCAGCATCATGCTGTGGGACTAGTCAGGATTGAGGGAAAGACAAATGCAGTAATGTACAGAGACATCCTTCTTAAAAACCTGCTCCAGAGCGCTCTGTACTGGGGTGAAGGTTCATCTTCCAACAGGAAAATGACCCTAAGCTTACAGCCAACATAACAAAGGAGTGGCTACAGGACAACTCTATCAATGTCCTTGAGTGGCCCAGCCAGATCCCAGACTTGAACCCAACTGAACATCTCTGGCGGAGAGATCTGAAAATGGCTGTGCACCGACGCTCCCCATCCAACCTGATGGAGCTTGAGAGGTCCTGTAAAGAAGAATGGGAGAAACTCCCCAAAAATAGGTGTGCTAAGGTTGTAGCATCATACTGAAAAAGGCTTGAGGCTGTTCCTGGTGCCAAAGGTGCTTCAGCAATGTACTGAAACGCTAGAAGTATTCTTTCATGTTGTCATTATGGGATATTGTTTGTAGAATTTTGAGGGAAATAATGAATTTAATGGAGTTATGTAAACTGAGGTTGAGGAAGAGGACCACACCTCCCTCACTTATTCTACCATCTGTGCTTTTTCCTCCAATCAACCACCCATACTTCACTCATTCCATCCACCTGTGCTTCTCAAATCCAGTCACATGCACTCACGTACATAAGCCGTCTAACCCGTCTTCTCTCCCGTTTCTCAGTTCCCACATCCCTCCCACCCAGACCCTGCTTGTTCACGTCTTTTAATGGGCAGCATGGTGGCCCAGTGGCCAGCACTGTGGCCTCACAGCAGAAGGTCTGAGTTTAGACCTCGCTCAGCCCAGGCCTCTCTGCACAGAGTTCGCATGTTCTCCCCGCTTTGAGTGGGTGTCCCCCGGGTGCTCCGGTTTCCTCCCACCATGAAAGACATGCACGCTAAAATCCATAATTCTGCCTAGTAATAATTTTGTCTTCTTCTACAACAGGAACAACAGGGGGCTTCATAAGACTAAGCTGCTTATCAAGACAAGCCCCCACCCTGAATCTCGACCCCTCGGGTTCCTAGCCACTCCAGCCACCAAAACCTAAATGACCTGCTCGACCCCTTCATCCCTCTTCGCTCGACCCCCTCATCCCTCTTCGCTCGAACCCTTCTTCCCTCGACCCCTTCATCCCTCTTCTTTCGACCCTTCCTTCCATAACTATTCATCATAATAAACCACTATACAATCTAACATTGGCGTGGTCCTTGTTAGTGAAATCCATTTTGGAATAAGGCTGTAACATAACAAAATCTGAAAAAACTGAAGCGATGTGAATACATTCCGGATCTGTACATTAGTTGGAAGGAAGGGAAACAACATGGACACACAAGAGTCTCCAGTCGACCTAATCCCTGAGGCATCACACTGCCCTGTGTGAATTGCAAATGAAAAGTTGTGAAACTCATTTGGGCCCTGGTTTTGGCTTCTATTGCTGTATTATGCAAAACTAATCAGGGAATCAAAAGAATGGCTACAACGCAGAAAGCCTATCATGCAAATGTAGACTCTAAATCTATATAGGAGGTTCCATAACTTCTTAATTTAGAACACAGTTTTATATGCTGCAAAATTTACAGAATTATTCGTGAGAGTCATGCAGACTACAAAAGCTTAAGAAGATGACTACAATCATCTAACATTATGCTGACCCACTCTGAGTTTCTTTCACACATCACACAGTAACAGGTTTTGTTGAATATTCTGGTCCCCGTGGCCTAAGTAAGTGTGATTACACTGGTTTTACGTAGGTGATGGTGTAACGCTCATGCGAAAGCAGACCTAAATATTCTGTTTTGTACTTCCCTACCAATGACCTAAATAATGAATCATGTGTGCTACAAAAACGTTCATTTTAAAACACATGGCCTCGTTCTTTTTTTCCCCCCTTTTTTTGAGCGGGTGAGATAATTTAACATGTTTCTGTATTTTGAGAAAGAATTTCACCTCTTTGAGATAAAGGCTTAGTGTTTGTCTTTAAAGCAGTATACCGTCTATACCGGTTTTTGTTTAGTTTGTGTGGTAGTATCTCATTCTCATGACGTTTGGTTTAACACCTTCATGTTTACATTCCATTTACTGAAAAGAAACGGATTGTGTTCTATTTTTAACCCAGAGAGTCTATTAAAAGAACAATCCTTACACATTTCAGTCATAGTAATGACTGGTTAAACGTGTTCTAACAAATAGACAGATGAGCTTGAATATGTTTTTGATGAAGAGCCAGAAGAAATAGGAAGTAATTGTCACTTTCAGATTCTTCTGCAGAGCTGTAATCATCACAGTTAAAGACTATCTCGCTACTACAAAATGCTTTACCATGAAAATTGTCCAGACAATGTGTCCTAAAGACATGTTCATTCTTCATCTAGTACCACCAGCAGATTGAGATTACACAACATGTTTTTGAGTGAAATATCTTGACAACTTGGATGGATTGCTATGAAACATTCATGTCCCCCTCAGGATGAATTTGACTTTTCCTCTAGCACCATCATCAGGTATATATTGTAATTTGTCCAAGACTGGTTTATTACCAAATACCATCAAAACTATTTTCATTCCCATCAGCCTTAACTGTTACTTTGTGTTTAGAGGTAATTAGCAAATGTTCGCATGCTAACATGCTAGACTAAGAAGGCAAACATGGGCTGTTTTCAGAATCTCATAACTAACATACTATTCATACTATTCATACAAAGTATGACCTCAAATTGACTATGTAGTGTGTTTTAACTGCGAAGTATGTGGATTTTGTGTACGTGAGACATGCCTAGATTAGCAAGAATTTCTGAGCTGTGAGCTTAATGGAGATTCTCAACTGCCCCAAAATGCAATGTGTCTTTTTGGACTGCACAATGGAAATTATGTGCATGTGATGCAGTCCCACAGAACTGCTAGCTGCAGTTTTGTTATACTCTGCAGTATTTGATAGGCTAGTTATTATTCAATACAATAATTACTTCCCATAGGAATCAAAGAAATCACAATATCTTTGTCTGTTACTCCCCATTTCCAACCTCATTATCATCTCCTCGCCCACCACAACAACAAAAAAACTCATTAACCTGATACATAAAATAAATATGTAAATTAAATATGAGAAAGATAAAATTCAAATAAATTAACTGAATTCCTTATCTTATGAGTTATCGTTTTGTAAACTTGATTAATAATCTCCTTCCACTTTCCTATTTGTAGTGCAGCTGGCCAGTTTTCTGGTTATCTGCTTAAGTGCTGCTGCTCTCAAAATTCTAAAGAGGTGTTTACCAGATCAGTGAGAAAGTAACTCAAGTACTTTCCCCAGGGAGTAGTTTCTCTGGCCCCTAAGAGAGTGTGCATTGAAATAAATAATTCGGTCTCCTGTAAATACTAACAACACCTAAATCTAAGTTAAAGGTTTCCGGTCATTCTAGTAATGCAACAATATTAAGGCTACAATTTCAACTACATAAATGAACAAACAAAAAACTCCTGTTATGCTGTATACGCAAACAAACTGTTTTGTTACCTGACGCAAGTTTTGTGTTTCCCTTTACTTAGCCTAAATAAAAACATTTCCTCCATGAATTGATGCAGAAAAGGCAGAAATTCAAGTTAAAGAAAATTTAACCAGAATGCTGGGTTGTTAGTGTTTAATGAAGAAACAAGCAACTCCAGTTGTATATGCATACTTTACCTGTAAACATACAGATTAGTGTTTTAAGTCCTGAGAACACATCCATCCATCCATCCTCAACTGCTTATCCTGCATACAGGGTTGTGAGGGGCTAGAGCCAACGTCAGCTGGAATTAGCTCAATTGGATGATGGGAGGAAGCCGGAACACCTGGAGAGAACCCACACAGACACGGGGAGAACATGCAAACTCCACACAGAAAGGCCGGGGCAACCGGAGTTTGAACCCGCTGCCTTCTTGCTGCGAGGCCACAGCGCTACCCGCCAGACCACCATGCCACCCTGCTGAGAACACTTACCAATTTGAATTCAATCCAAATTTCTACTATTAGATAACTTCTGATGTTCCACTGGTGATATCACTTTCAAAAACACAGTTTCAAACGCATTTATTTTAATTATCCTAACAAATAAATATTGATTCTATAAGGGGCATGTCACTTCTTTAGAAAACCTGACAAAGTCTGCAAGGAAAATAACAATTTAACTGTGAAAGAAAGACACACTGAAGGAACGGCAAAGAAAAAGCTAGACTGCTAAAAAAAACTTGTGACAGAACTGTGACTAAGAATAGCACAAACTTGAATGGTGAGCTAAATAACATTGAGACGAGATAACTTTCAGCAGCCTGTGCAATGCATTTAACTGTGGAGAATGTGATGAGGATTGTGAGACACAGCCAAGTTTAGTTCTATAATTAAACATCAAGGAAGTACACATGGTCTGACGCACTTTAAGCATGCATGTTGTTCCTTAACAATCAGGTTGTATATCAACTGAGGTTAAAGACAGCGAGACACATGGGGGGAAAAAGTGCTGAGACCTGTAGTTCAGAGAAAGGCGTGGTGTCTTGACGTCACAGTTGGATTCCACAGGCTTTGACTCTCACAAGTAAGAAGAGGGAATCATCATCCAGTGGTGGAGCATTTAGGTTGGAAATCAAGCTAAAATGTAATTCTTCACTGGCATCATACATAGGTCTACTGAATGATACAGTCAAATAAGAATTCATTAATTCAACAATGAATTGGAGCTCTAAGATATCTCTGGACCTCCAGGATTCAAAGAGAATGTAAGTACAGTGTGTTTCATTTTCAATGAAATGAACCTTATTAAGACATATTTCTTAGTACTGCTACTGTTATCCTCTCTTGTAGACATAAGGCATGGAAATCCAGAATGCATAACTTCATCCAGAGTCTACCAACGGGGAAAATCAACAGGTGTTTTTTTTATTTAGTCACACTCCATGTTAATCTACCTGTCTAATGCTTTCTTTAAAATGTGAACAATCCCAAAAACTTATTTTTCTTTCATCTGCAGACAGGAAAGAAATGAAACAAGCACACTGGATGAATCTCTTGAGACACTCCTGTCCCAGAAATGTAATTTTTATCTGTTTTCAAGCAATACAAGACTACTATCATGGTTGGTTACTGTTCTTTATATTGAAGTTATGTTCTCTTGTGTAAAAGGTGGACAGATAGCATTTCGGGACTTTCTGAAATCAGAGTTCTGTGAGGAAAATCTGGACTTCTGGCTCGCCTGTCAAGAGTTCCAAACCTTTGACAGTCCAGAGGAGCTAACACAGAGAGCAGCAAGTATTTATGAAGAGTTCGTCAGTACTGAGTCTCCAAAACAGGTAAAAACAAACTCAATGAGATGACCGAAAAATAAACTCAAACCCAAATATAAGCTTAGCATAAAAAGAAAATTAGTTAGCACATGTATATTCAATGTTGTTTTTTTGCAAGAGTGACAACTGCAATTTTTTGGTAATAGTTAAAGTTGCCATAATGTGAGAACTTTTGGACTCAAAGGCAGACTCGGTGATGTGATCCAGGGAGTTAATCCAGGGAGCACACAGAAAGTTACTTGAGTTGATGGTAGGCCTTGACACATATACCACATGCAGTTAACTGACAACCTGGCAAAGAATGGTGAGGAGGACTGGGGTTGTTATACTACAGGAGCTTGATTAGTGGGATGAGGATCAGGTGTGTAGCTGGAGTTTGGCTGCAGGAGCCAGAGAGTGTAGCCACGCCCAGACAAACACAGACAACACAGAGACAGACAGGGAAGACAGACAGAAAAGACAGGGAAGGGGGGAACAAAATAATACAAGGTAGTGGGGAGATACTGCAGTACCATAACAAAAGTCCTCTAAAAAAAACACTGAGCTGTCATCATTTTGTGTAGGCCTACATCAACCACAGCAACCAGCGCTGTAAATAGTCACTTTCTGACTGTGGTTATCATATGGCTGCACACATACGGCACAATACATGTCTAAATTGAAAAAGCATGTTCAGTTATTTTAGCTATTAGTGCTTTACATATCTTTGCAGGTAAACTTAGATTTCTACACAAGAAAGATCATCAGACAAAGCCTTCAGCAACCAAGTCCATCATGTTTTGTTGTGGCACAGAAGAAAATCTACATCCTGATGGAGAACGACTCCTTCCTGCGCTTCACTCAATCAAAGCAATACCAAGTCCTGTTGGATGCAGCTCCTAAGCAGAGAGGCCTTGGGAAGCACCGAAAGGCCTTGAAGATAAGGAGATCTAATGCAGCATGATTCAAAACCAATCATTTTGCAGACTTGTGCACAAGGACAGACATCATGCATATTAATGGTGCAAAGTGTTGCACAGACACAGGCTCAGGAACTGCTGTTGACCGACACTGTGCCGGCAATTCCCCTTCCCTCAGAATTCTTCTCCTCAACAATATAACATCTGACAGGACTTCAGGCTGTGCCAGAGCAATTGACATAATATACTGCAGGCGGTGCCTTCTGGTGCACAATGAACACTGGACATCACCAAAAGTGTTACTGTGGTTTTCAGTCTCGTGGGGTGTCTGGCTGAGACAGCCAATGCTTTGAATGTAAATCTCCATTTTTATGGTTCTATACAAGTTAATGCACTTGACTGGCAGACTGTTGTGTATTTTGTGAGTTTGTATTAAACTGTATTTGTGAAAATGTGTATGATTTTGAATCAATATGCATCATGAAGCACTGTAATGTGTTAAATTCATACAAGCTGTTGAACTGGTGCAAAAAGTCATAAACTAATGAAAAAGACTGTCAGTGTCTTCGTGACTTAAAAATGCATCATGTGCACTTACAGTTGATGTGCTACTGCCACACAGTGGCAACTGGGAGAATGTATGGCCGCTGGTCTCAATATTCAATCATAACAACATGTTTTACATGTTGTGTGTAATAAGAGAAGATAATCTTTTGTAACAATTATACACACCTATAATGCTACAAAAGATTTTTTTTTCATTATTGCACACAGGTAATAGTAAACATCAATATCACCATATTAAGGTTTACTATTACCTGTGTTGTTTTATTTATTTAACCAGCTGTAACACTGAATGACTGGAGATTTTGTCTCAAATGGAACCTGTTGTATATCATATATGTTCAGGAATTCTCATAAATAAAGTAGTCAGATTATTATTCCAAAGAGGGTTTCCTGGATTGTTTGAAATCACATGGCTTAAACAAGCTCCAGTAAATCTGTTCTGTTTTTTGTTTTTCTGTCAGATTCTTAACAAAAACGTAATTACAGTTTGTCTTCAATTAAAAAGCAGTAGACCATCTTGTGGTTAAGATAATAAACAAACAGAATCACATTTTTGATTATTAAATCAAATCGATTATTCTTTGGCAACAGTCTTGTGCAGTAACAGCGGGCAGGACTTATGCTGCTCTGCAACAGCCAGAACGGGGTACGTTCGCGGGAATGGGGCATATAGTCCATGCTCCAATGTAGTAGTGAGTTGTTGAAACTGGGTCATCGCCAAAAAACTTTTTCGCGATTTTATTTTGTAGGCACAATCACTTAAGAGGAAGTGATTATGTGAGTAGGCCTAACTGCTTCTGACATGACTGACATCTATTTTGGCACCAGCCCCTATCAAAGTATTTATTTATTTATTTGGCCAGCTGGCTGCCTCTTGCTGATGACTGCTGTAGGTGAAACCAATGTGAGGTGCACATTTTGAACAAAACACAGGGAGGCGTCACATCGGTCGCTGGGAACGGGAACATGCACTAGTTTGTAGAAATCCAAAATTCCAAAAGTAATTTGCTCACGATCAAAATCATGAGGCCTTTTTCACAGCAGACATTTTAACTTGTCATTGCAGGAAAAGCACATTACACAATAACCCAGTGAGCCGTGACAGTGAGGCAGTATGTACAACACCAGGACCCAGAAACTGAAGCAGCTAAATGGAATTCAGCCATAAGTCATTGTTATTATTTACACCAGTCCTCTGTGGAAAAGGCCTATTGGTGGATACAGCCCAGCTTCATCAGAACAACGACTTCCCTTGAAAATGGAAATGAAATTTACAGGATGGCTACCAAAGTCATAGGTACTGCACTGTGAACAGTGGGGTCAGCACTCAACATCATCGCCTCCATCCTTGTTCTGTAGCCTCCCTGTAGCATTTCAAATTTGATTATGGAAATTGTGGTTAAAGCAACAAGAGGCTAAGGAGTAGATATAAAGTGAAGAAACATTGACATGAAGAATGTAGGCGTGCATGAAGAGGCATGTAAACATTGTGAGTGGAAGGATGTGCAGAGGAGAGGGGATATATCTGGATCAACCTGACCAACCACCAGATGATTTGGGTGTCAAGAGGATGTTTGGAATGAATATTTCACTTAAAGAAGTATTGGGCTGGGTGGAGATGCACTGTACAACTACGACTCTGCATGGGACTCAGCTTATGAGCAAACTGAGAGGTCAAAAGCAAAATCAATGTTTAATGACCTAGTGCTGTAAGCCAAAAGTAAAGAGAAATCAAAAAACTTTATTTATATAGCACCTTTCAAGCCCAGAATGTCACAAAGTGCTTCGCAAAAGAAATAAGACAAACAACAAAAAGACAGACGTAAATACAGAAAATAGAAATACATCAAAATAAGACTAAAGTCTAAACAGGTGGGTCCTGAGCTGCTTTTTAAAAAAATTTTAAAATGACGCCTAAACTTATTCTAATTTGAACTGTAAGCTGCACTTTATCAGAGGTGCTAAAGTTAACATGTTTGTGGTGAGATTTCTGCCTGATCAAAAACATTTTCAGTTACTTTTGTTTTCCACCTGAGCACCTCCCTTTCTCATTCTTTACAGTCCCTAACGGGTTCTGTGTCTGTCCAATGGTCTTAAGTGATACCATATCAGTAGAGCTATAACGTAATGCATAGGAGAGTATAGAGCACTTTTACTTTTTTAATGAATACTCATTAAATGATGACATTAGTCTTTTAATAGACTATTATGACTTTTTTTTCTCAAAAAAAACAAACATGTTATTTAGGGATGTGCACCGAAATGCGGTATTAATACATTACTTACTTACTTAATTACTTTGGATAAAAGCGTCAGCAAAAATGACTTGGCATTTTTCTTTTTTCTGTCATTTTATCAGGCCAACAATACAAAGAATTAGTTTTTGAAATATGAATTAGGTAGCATCCACCACATACTGTAGTATTTTGGGTTGCTCCTGTAGTTTTGTGCACATCCAAAAACAACAATAGATCTTCAATTTTAGCCTAATATCAGTTCCCACATAGGCTTATCGCCGTGTAGTAAGAGATGCACCAATTGCATTTTTCATGGCTGATTCCAAGTACCGATTTTTTAAAGGTCTGACCAACTGATTCTGATTTTTTTCTTTCTAAGAACAATAACTGACAGCACACACAAACATTTTTGTGACTTTTCTTTATTGAAATCAAGGCCAACATAAGCATTGGCTAGTCTCACTGGGGTCTATTCAATTGGTCATAATATAACATTGATTATTAAATAACTTCTGTGTTTTCACTGGACGGAGCTGTTTGTTAAAAATAAAATCCAAATGAAAATAAATTGCAGTAGGCTGTTACTGGTACTGAGTCCTTGAAGACTCTTTACTCTCATTAAACAGGGCCATGAGGTAATTAAAACGTGGGACCTGCTTCCCACATTTTAATGTCCTCGTAGCCATGAAACTATCTCGTGGCCACGTTTTAATGAGAGTAATTTAGAGAGTAAGGTAGGTTATTTCTTATCTCATTTTAATTATACTTAATTCTCCACTTATTGTTATACACCATCTTATTGTTTACACACAAACTGGTTTAATCTGCTCAGACACACACACACCTACACCTGTCTCTTTCTCTCTCTCCCTGTATTTGTCTGCTCTGTTGTGTTTATTTGTCAGCAGTTTTAAACTGATAACTCACATTTCGTATTTTTTCACCCGCAATTCCGTTTTCACAGCAGCAGGTGAGCCCCATGTGCTTGTTGTTAACTATACTGATCAAGACCACCGTGGTATTGACATGACATCAGCCCTAACAGCTGTATTCACTGTTGCTTTACTTGGTCCATGCCTTACAATCTGCACCGTGGATGCCCATGTCTTCTTACATAATACAAGAACGCTTCTCTTTCTGTGTGCTTGCGAGCGTTGTGTCTTCCTCACTCCAGTGAATAACTTCCACACATGTGTGTCGCTGTGAAAATAGCCAGTTATTGTCTATGGCGCTGTGCACAAGTGAAACCATCGCGTGAAACACTATGCAGCACAGCATGTGTGTAACATTAAATGTGACACTGGCAAAAAAGCGGATATTTGATACTGCTCGGGCCCGGTCACCGGTCATGGCCGATTAAGATGAAAACCGGTCTATTCTAATACCTATATGATGGATCAGCACATCTCTAGTTGTAGTGGGTGACTTACTATCCAGCAAGCCATTAGACAAGCAACCAAACAAGTTAGGTAATGTTATAATAGCTAAGATAGCAAACTCATGAAAAAATACATTGGTTATCATAATTTTTTGACAATTTTGTAATGACTCAGCATCATCTGTGTTAAATAAAAAGAATCAGTTCATCCAATGTTTTAAGACAATAAAATAGCCATGTCAGCTTACTCACTAGTGTTCCAAAACTTTTCATCGAGATTCTTTTAGATTCAAACTTTCTCTCCCAGCCATGGACTGTATGACTGTATCCCACCAGACTAAGTAGGCAGTGGACCAAACCACTGTCAGGCAAGCGAGGGGGGACTCAAAATGTTTCTGAACTTAAATCGCCCTTTTATTCCCCCTTTGCGTTTGTATTGTTCTACTACTTACACAATTATTTTAAACACATATTACATTATTTAATGATTTTTTAAGGAGGGGGGGGGGGCAGCACTCAGATGGGGTGGGTTCCCCCGACCTCCGCGCAATTTCCTTCTATGGGTGAAGTTACCTCCAAACCTATGCTCCAAACTACTCAAGTTTATGACAGCTACGCTAGTTATTGTACCTGCAATAAAACTTTGTGAGTAAAAAAAATAATAGTTAATACACCTGTGTGTAGTGTAAACATGTAGAAACCGTTATTTTAATCTGCTCTGTCCACAGACCCTCATCCTCTATGTTTTATATTGGGGGGATTGGTGATGGGGCAGTGGATCAGACACATGCCCTTGGAGTGAGAGACCCGGGTCCGAATCCATTGTGAGACACCAATGTATCCCTGAGCAAGACACTTAACTCCTAGTTGCTCTAGAGGCGTGCGACCTCTGACATGTAGAGCAATTGTAAGTCGCTTTGGATAAAATCGTCAGCTAAATACATAAATGTAAATCTAGTGCTGAGGTTGTGCATTGTCACCAGCGTTTCACGGTGCATTCACATGCTCCTTGGGTTTTCCCATTTCCCGAGTTCTTCTGACTTTAGTGCGAGTTCATGTGCTCTTAAGTCGGAATGTGGAATCAACATGGATGCTACTACAAAGATGTGTAGGATTAGCATTATCAGAGCATATAAACAACGCAGACATGTAGTTCACTCTACATGGACAAAATTTACTTGTTCTTCTTCTTCATATCAATTCAAGGTAGAGGCGAAACGTGTTTTTTGAAGAGATTTTTGACCATTTGGGCTACAGCAACATGGCGGCCCTAAGTGTATGTAGATAGCAGCTCATTAAAGTAAAAAAAAAAAAAATCCAGTTCATTATGTAGGTTCTTTATACACCAGTGAAAACATAGTTATGTATATTATATTGTATTTCTGTCAATAGATTCTCCTAAATATTACACACTGAATCTTTAACTAAAGCCAAAGATAAGGAGGAAGTGAAATGCCATTTATGTTCCAAGTTAATTTCTTGTGAGGGAGGGAACACAACATTAGTGGAAGTCATTTAAAGGAAAAATGCTATAACTGTCTTCGAGTTGGAACATCGCCAAATCCGGCTGCCATTGGGTCTCATCTTATTCAGAGTGAGAATTATACATTGACAATCGGGAGGGTCAACTTTTTTTCCAGGTCGTAAAGAAAACCAGTAGGCCTACAGTGTGCATGTGCTTAAGAGAACCAACTAATATTATAACATCTTTGCTTGTTTAACTAATATCTGCAGCCAGTAGATGATAATAAATCAAATTCATTACACACACACAACTTTGTTAGTCTGGGGTCAACAAGTATTCTAGAGCAAAGTGCCAGCAAGTCAGACCTGCACACAAACACCAGCAGACCATAATGACCGCTCAAACTCCACCAAAGACACTATCATGAAGTACAGACTGCATTATCATCTCTAATTCCTTCTTGTTAGGGGTGATCCCAAACTGTAGAATATTCACTTATGTAACGAGGATACCATTTTGGCTATTGGGGGTTGTGCTCAACTCTAATTTAACATAGAACTACAGGTTTTCTCCCTATAAGTTAATATAAAGCTTATTATGATATACAGGTAGATAGACAGGAAAGAATGCTATGAAGCTTTCCAAGTTAGTAGAGGACCATGATCTTATGGAGAACACCTAGCACTATTAGCACTATTGTAACATACCCTTACTTCCCTCTGAGTTACCTTACTATGTTTGAGCCTGGGTTTGTTGTTATTTTCTTTATGATGTTATTTTCTTTTATTAGTATTATCTATGTAGCCTATTTTATTTATTTTGACGTAGGCTACTTCACTTTCTAGGCGTGTCTGTTCCTATGTCAGTTGTGCACTGTTCTGTTCTATGCCACTGTGTGTGTAAATTTGTCAAAATAGACGGAGAAGAGAGAGAAAAAAAGATTGACAGGGAGGGAAAATCTGACAGTCGGGACACTGTAGGAGTTGTGTAACTCCAGAAGATGGCAGCGATGCAACACAAAGGACGCAAGCTGCCGTTAAATCTCAAAGAAGAAAAGGAGGAATCGCGGCCCCGCCCCTGGTTATTTCACTGACGGTCAGAGGAGAGGCCTCTTCGCATTGAGATACATCAAAAACTTGAGCACTGTGCACATATATTGTGGTAAGTTCATGTACACCTTGTGTAATTGTTGACCGTAATGTGACTGCGTGTTTGCAGTAAGGACAACTCAATTTAGTTAACGTTACGGTTAGCGTATCGTAGTAACCAGCTGCTCATCCCCGGCAAGCTGCATCAAGCCTCCTAGCCCAGCTGTCCGGTGTCCGGCTAGGAAAAGGCTCAGATGTGGGACTTCATAGTTTGTGCTTAGAGGAGTTCTGGCGGACATTATCATGCAGCTGCAGCTGAGAGACGTTTTAGGAGAAGGTTGGATATTTTTTAAATACATAACTAGCTAGATACCTATTTACCATGAGTATAATATTATTGAGATTGGCTAAGCCCTAATGTTATCTAACTTCGCATTTCCCACACTGCCCTCCTTTGCTAGCTTGACTAAGTTAGCAAACCTGGACGGTTAACGTTAGCTTAGTTAAGGTTGACTAGCTAGTTAGCAGCATTATTATGTGTTGACGTTTTTTTTTACCATGCTCTATCAACACTTGAGAGTGGCTTGTATCTGTCTCAGGAGTATCATCATGTCCTGTAATCGGCTTTAAGTTATTTCTGTCAGTGCATCGAAGCAATGAGTAAGAAATGTTGCTATAGCGTTTTCTTGAGTTCACTGAGGCGCTCGAACATGCGGCATTTTGTTAACGTTAGGGCTCATTCCAAGCTGAGTGATCCTATCCCACACCACCAGCATCATACATGGGAAATTAACACAACAACTGGCATAATTCTGTTAAATCTAAGCTGATTGTTTGGATCATTGTCGGTTTAACAGATGCGAGAAGTTAAAATGGTTCTTTCATTAAATATTAAGACTGCATTCCCCTGTTAAATTCCTAATTTTTTAACCAGTTACTCTCATCTTACGCCCTGTAAAGCGTCTTTGAGTACTCAAAAAAGTGATTAAATTAACTTTAACCACTTTCTATTTCAGGCCTTATAGTGTTACAATGGAGCCATCGGGAAGTACTACGATGAGCAACCACACCCTCAACTCAACAGGAGGTGGTTGCCCATGGGAGGTCAACGACAAGGCCAGACTGTGCCGCTTCCTCTGCTATGGCTTGGAGGGAGACTTGTACACTGCCAGAGAGGAAGGTCAGGTTAGCATGGAGTGCGCTGGAGCTCTGCTCTCCCTGCTGCAGGAGGGCCGTGGTGCTGAGGTGGTGGAGGAGATCAAAAGGTTCACGCAGGATGGGCGAGCTGTCAGACTCGGCCCCTCCTTTTTTGCCCTGGCTTTGTGCTCCCAGCACTCGGAGCTGAAGACGAGACAGGCGGCATTCAAAGCCCTGAAGGAAGTTTGTCGGGACCCTGCCCACCTGTTTTCGTTCATCCAGACCAAGAAGGAATTGAAAGAGGGTATGAAGTGTGGGATTTGGGGACGTGCCCTGAGGAAAGCAGTGTCTGACTGGTACAATGAGCAAGATGCCATGAGTCTGGCTGCGGCTGTGACCAAATGTAAACAGAGAGAGGGATGGTCCCACCAGGATCTGCTCAGGCTCTCTCACACCAAACCAGCTAATGAAGGTGGGTTTACACGGACCCACATTTTACCAGAGCCATATACAGGGCATGAGCAAAAGTATCATCCATGTCACATTACAATATCCCTGCCCAGTAGTAACTAACTTGTGAAGGCTATTTTTTGGGGGAAAGCTGGATGTATCATTATTTTGTAGAATTTCTAAGGAAATATGCTGTTTAGTGTCCTTAAATTATTGTTGGAGATCAATTTGCTGTCATATTTTCAGAAGATGTGTCCCTTGTTAATTTCATACAGTAATTGTTCAGCATTTGTGACTATCAGCAACACAGGCAACTGCAAATAAAAAAGGCAGTTAATTGAAATACCAGTTTAGCAGTATGTGTGAGCTTTAATAGAGATCTGAGAGCCACCATTTAACTGAGTTCATCAAGTGTTGAAAATGCTAGAAAGCCATGTAATGTGGGAAGGGAAAATGCCTCAAAAGTCATGATGGTAATCAACGGTGATGCGACGCTGACAGAAAGACAATTAGCATTACAAGCTACACCCTCCAAAATGGCCAAGTAAAATTGCTGACTTTTTTTTAAAAACAAACAGATCTTTGCCAGCTTCTTATTTACTGCATTGCTGCTCTGTACATTTGTAAACCTGTCCTGACTAACAATCTGTAAAATGTACGTTGTAATCCTACATCATGACTTCGATGACGAACACCACTTTAAGTAAGACTGTAAAGGTCATTCCTTTTGTGTTTTACAGCAATTGCCTTGATCAGCAAATATATAACAAAAGGATGGAAAGAGGTCCAGACTGCTTACTCAGACAAAGAGAACTCAGCAGAGGTTGCCAAAGTGCTTTCGTATCTTGAAGTGGTGGAGAAGGTAAAGCACAGTTGTGATGAAACGGAGGTCATCAATTTAATAGAGGAACACAAGCTGGAGAGGGAACAGCTGCTGACAGACCACCTGAAGTCCAAACAGGTGAGTGTTTCTTTTCATTGTTTCATGATATTCAGGGAGGATTATTTTTAGAGCTTCCTCTGTCATCATCAAAATGCACCAATGATACTGTATACTGGTAGTAAATGGTAATTAGCAGTCTTTCCCAACGGGGTATTGCTCTTTACTACCAACAGTTTAGAAGTGGCTGCAAAACAGCCTTGCTTGGTCTGGTCAGGATATTTTTCAGCTGGATTATTATTTTGTTTTACTGAGAAAGGAATAAGTTTGTTTTTTTTTTTTTTTTTTTATCCTCAAGGTGTGGAGAGCTTTGTTGAAAGAAATGCCTCTCCAGTCAGTGCTAAGGATCTTGGGTAAGATGACATCAAACAAAATTCTTGAACCTGGAAGTTCAGAAACGCAAGCTGTATGTGACAGAATCCAGAGTGAGACGGCACTAAAGACGGTAGGACTTTGCTAATTCATGCACAGTTGCGTTTTTCAGTAAACATGAGTCGGTGTATTTAATGTCTGTCTTAAAATCATCAGGCAAAGATCCACCCTTTCAGCATACTCTTGGCTTCTGAAAACTACAAAAGAGGCCAAGGCTATCAGGGTAAAACAAAATGGGAACCAGACAGCGGCATCCTCAAAGCAATGGACTCTGCTTTTTATAAGAGTTTTATGGTTGGTTCTTCTTTATTTTCACAGCTTCTCACACCCCATCAACGAAGACCGCCAACGAAAGCCATCACTTAACCTCTCGCTCTGTCGCAATTCTGTCCTCAGAATCTGGAGCCTGTGGGTAAACGCTTCGTAGTGGCGGTAGACGTGAGCACGTCACTGAGCAGCATTGTCCCAGGGACGTCAATCAGCACTGCTGTCGCTGCTGCAGCTATTACCATGGTAAGACAAGACTAGAGTTAGGTAGCTCCACAGTGTGTGGGTGATAGCTCTAGTTGGAACAGCTGCGCCCCCATCTTTGGAGGAATCCTGGGTCAAGGAATTGGTCTGTTGATACATACTGTGAATTGCTGAAGTATTTCTTCCACAGTGCGAATATCTTAGTCCACAGGCCCTCCAGTAGTCGTTACCTTAGAGACATTGCCGTCCTTGTTTGTATGAGTGTGTGTGTGTGTGTGTGTGCGCGTGTATGTGAGAGACATGAATTATTGTAATAGTGATGTCATGCTTTTCTTTTGACCCTTGTGTCTGGCGCAGATTTTTGCAAGGTCAGAAGCAGACACACATGTGCTGGCCTACTCTGAAGGAGCTGTAGTTCCATGCTCTGTCTCTGCTGACATGACTCTCGCACAAGCCACATTTGAGCTGGTCAAGGTAAGGCATGTGACCGCATCAAAGTAAAAAAAAAATTAAGTACAGTTACTGATCAGTATACTGTGGGAACAAGGTCATTTTATAACCGTGTGACTGCACATTATCTGTAACTAGCGTTATGTTCACATTGTCTTCATCGATCATCTCTTTCTCTTGAGCTCTGACCTTTCCACCATGCTGTAATGTTCTAGATCCCGAGCGGAAGCACAGACTGCACCCTTCCCATCACATGGGCCACAGAGAATGGGAAAGCTGTAGATGTGTTCATCGTTCTGACCAACAACCCGTTGTGGACGTTTACTGCCAGCCCAGTGGAGTCTCTAAAGAAGCATAGACAAGTACGTTCATTCATTCTTTCATGTGTGTCTGGGGAGAGGATGTTGTTGTTTTTTTTTTTTAAAAGGATATTTTTGGACTTTTTCCTTTTTAAAGATAGCATAGCTGGACAGGGACAGGAAATGCGGGGCGACATGAAGAAATGGGCAGCGGCTCAGATTCGAACCCCTGGCCGCTGCAACGAGGACTGAGCCTCTACCAATGGAGCTAAACGGCCACCCGAATAATGTCGTTTGAGCTAAAGATTGTTTTATAATATAGGCTTACACAAACACCGGGTAGAATTAATTTGCACTTTGATGGGCACAGACTTAATCAGACAAATGGGAGGAGGTTCATTTTAACGTCTAATAAAGTTGATTCATAAAATTGTTTTATTTGTCTCTTATGTCGGATAGACACCTATAATAGGGTTGAGCAACAGGACACAATCAGTTTTCTGTGTATTTTATGTGACAGTTACTGAAAACACATGCACATCTATCTGTCCATGTGCTGAGTCCTAAAAACTGTAACTTGGATTTCTATCTACCAGAAGACTGTCAACATTGTCATCTGCTCACTTTAAAATCTTGTCTTTGGAAGGAAATTTTGAGCCTAAATTGGCTTTCGTCTGTAACAAAAGAATTAAGGTCCATTTTGTAAGCAAATATGAGAGTATGTGCATTTTGCAAAAACAATGAACCAGTTTTTTTTGTGTGTGTGTGTTTCTCAACAGAAATCAGGAGCTAGTTCTAAGTTGGTGATGTGTGGGCTAACGTCCATTGGACACGCCATCGCAGACACAGAAGACAGGGGTTTACTGAGCATCTGTGGCTTTGACCTTGGAGCTTTGATCGTCATTCGTAACCTAGCCCAGGATTTGATCTAATAAAGTATTGGGGCTGTCTCTGAATCATGTCGTTAGAGCACAGAAAGAAATCCCTAAAACAGAACTAATCCAAAAGATGCTGACATTTGCAATTACAATTTCTCTTTTTGTATTATGTCACTTACACGTCAATTGACAAAGTGTCCAGCGGGCTGGACAAAACTCTGAAAATGTTATGTGCATATATTTTTTTCTAAAATTTAAAAGTGATAAGACATAATACGTTATTGCATATCATGCTGTCAAGTTTAAGTGCAAACAGCACTGTTTAATGCTTTGATGGACACACTAACACATACAACAATGAATCCACTAATTTATAGCAAGATGATGGCAGATTAAAAAGAGGAACAGTGTAAGAGTCAGAATGTTAGAGGCTTAGTTCAACTGTAGGTTTATTTTAATTGGAGTAGTTTCTAGTATGTATCTATGGTATGAGTTTAGCAGGTTTTATGTGACGATAGAGGCATTTTATATTTGAAAGTCCCTCTGTTTTATGTAGCATTATCATAAATTATTAACAGATATACTGTAAATGAGAGGAATTGAAACAAAGCACCAGAAGTCACTGCAATGTATTCTGTTGACCTCAAATTATTTGATTTATATGGTCAGAAAACATTTATAGGAATAGGAATATTAATATCTATTACACAACTTTTACCTTTAGCATAGCTATAGTTTTTAGTTGGTAGTGTTTTCCCCTAAGCCAATTTTATTTGAAAACACTGTTGTCTGTTTTGCTCTTGTTGAATTTATTCTACAAAAAGAATACCCTTGGTGCTCTTAAATGTGTTGATGCATTTTGGGGGAATTATTTGGGATTTTCTTTGTGAAACAATTATGCCAATGTTTGGCACTGTAAGTCAGTTTACTGTAAGTTGGAGAGAGTCTGAATTCTATGCATTACAATTTGGATTTTACTGTAATAGTAGTATATCCAGGAAGGACAAATCATAGCTGTTTAGCTATGATTAGCTAATTGTTTACCAAGACTGAATCTGCTAGCACAGTCATGTTTCTGTATTTTTGATGTAAGAATGTTTGTTATGCAAAGTCTAACAGATAATTGATACCTTCCTGGAATAAAATTAATTGAATGTAATTTTGTAAAACATATAACGGTAGATATTTGAAGTACAATGCTTTATATTTCTTCAAACACTGCTTATACACACACACTGCTTACAGTGTTTGGGGCCAATGCATTTCGGGGAAATGCAAACAAGCGGCTACAGTGGTGCTTCTTGTTTAGTCAAGAGCAACTGCTGTAATTACTGACAGCATTCTGTAAACATGTTACTCATCATTCATTCTGATGTAATTTACTCATGATGAAAATAAATTCCTGACCATGTTACTGTGACAGATTTTTGTCCATGTAAATGCTATCATTTTCAATGTTAAGACAATGTCCACTGTCTTTTTGGCTGACGGTCAAAATACTATAAAGCTAAAATGTGTGTAATACATTTGTTACTACGTTTGTAGTTAAAAGTCTAACATGAGAGATAGTTATTATGAGGTATGGTAGTTCATTCAAGTGTTTTACCACCATGACTGACTTCTTTTTCATCGTATTGTCAGTTGTATTCATTTTGCTTAAATGCAAGTACTTGACTGTAGTGGCGATGTAAACCCCTAATAAACACTTTGCTGCTCTACAAATACAGTTGTGTTTTTGGCTATTTCTGACTTGCAGGAAGTTAACGTTACTTTCTTGTGGGTATATCCATAGATGCACAGTATACTATAAAGAGGAGGTTTAGCCATTCGACCGAATGGGTACCTTTCGCTGTAACTTATAAACTTTTACACTAAAGCTAATAACACATATATTCAACTATTTAAAATGTTTACTGCTCACTCTCGGGCAATTTTATAAAAATTTTTACAAGGTTTCTAAGCGTAAGGTGGCTGCATTTCAGTCCTCTTACCAAAACTTTTGTCATTTTAAAAGCATGTCAACTAATTCCTTTGTTTTCCCCTTAAGAAAGTGTTGTGTACATGTTCAATAAATGAATATTAGTTACAGAAAATGTACTTTATACGCACACAAGTTGTTTTTTTTTAAAGAATCCTGAGGTTTCAGTATCAATGTTTTTGTCATGTAATTTATTGGATAAATGATGGACCAAACATTATATTTCATGGTAGCATGTAGTTTTAGGGAGTGGGTACCGGTATGCTATTTTCCAGTGCTGTAGGTACTTTTTATTAACGTTTTAATATATTTATCTTGCATTTGCATTTGGTCATTGTACAGGACACTTTTTTTTAGTAAAATAATGTGTTAAAGTCATGCACATTTATACATGTAATGTCATGGAGACAGGGAAACTGCTTTTATCTATATAAATGACCGTGACCAAAGTGTCCATCCTGTCGAAGAGCCCGTGAGCAAGACAGACATCGTTCCAGTACTCTGTTTGCAAGTCCTGACAAACAATCCAGCCAAAATTAAGAATTACGTTTGTCAGCGGCGGATGCTTAATACAACCTGGCAAATATGGGGTAAAATGTGTCTACTGCCAGCTTTGACAATCCTGCAACTAAGGGGAAATTGGTCTAAAAAAAAGTTTAATTCAGATCAGGCACCCTGCGAGGCCGCATGATGTTGAAAACTGGGGGCTTCGCAAACACACTACATCAAGACAAGTGAAGATGGCGGATGTGTTGAGTGTTCTTCGTCAGTATAACATCCAGAAAAAAGAAATCGTCGCTAAAGGAGATGAAGTTATATTTGGAGAGTTCTCCTGGCCGAAAAATGTTAAGACCAACTACATAATCTGGGGGTATGTCAGTGCTTAAAATACATATCGCTTTTGTAGGCCCGCAGCTGAAGCTCATCGGTGCCTTGTGGTGCTGCTAACGGCGGAAGCTAGTCGCTAAGATGCTAACCTAACTCCTCTCCTCTTCTTGTTTTTGTACTTCAAACTTTATGCTCGCATTTGTTATCTAAGCTTGATGGTGAAGTAATATTCCCTAGACCATCTCTTTGCTAGCATGTATGTGTGTCAATGTGTATATTTTTTACTTAAAAAGTATTCATGAGAGATGTAACCACAGCTAAACTTGCAGCAGTGATGTGATGCTAACTGGTTAGCGACGCTAGCGAGTAACGTCGAGTTGTGTTCCCATGGAGTCAGGTGTCCAGTGGCCCAAGGGAAAAGACTTGGTGTTTTTAGTATCTACAGTCATGACTACAAGCAGCTTTGTTTACAGTGCAAAAAGAAGAGTTTGCTCATGCAACGCAGAAAATTAAGTTGCACAAGGATTAGTTTAACCTCAGCTCACCGGATAACTGTTGATAGGTCCGCGTTTGAGATTTCAGAACCAGTGTTTTGTTACTTTGATCAATTAACTATATTTACTTCAGACCATAGACTTGTAACGTTACAATGTAGATTAACTTAAACGTGCATCTTGCAGCAGTCTGTGTATTTTAGTCATGTGAGTAATTGTTTTTTCGTGCTTGTGTTTCTACCTTCAGTACTGGTAAAGAGGGCCAGCCCAAAGAGTACTATACTTTGGACTCTATCTTGTTCTTGCTCAACAATGTGCATCTCCCGCATCCCTCCTATGTTCGAAGAGCTGCAGTAAGTGATCTGAAATATCTAAATATCTAACTGCCTTAACCGGTCAGTGACTCTAGTTCATTACTCACTAAAATATTTTAGTTAATCCCCTATTTTAGCCTCTTTTTTTTCTCTCATATGCAACATATTTTTTTTTTCTTCCGCAAATGCCTTGAAACTGTTTTTAGGTGACATGAGTATATGTTGTTTATAGACAGAGAACATCCCTGTTGTCAGACGACCTGATCGAAAAGGCTTGCTGTCATATCTCAATGGCGAAAGTTGTAAGTAGCACATGTGAGCTTGAGGTTGATTGTATTTTGCAGGATGTTACAAATTTGTCTGTGTGTAATTCTGCAGTTTATTTACACTCTGTCCTGATTATGACTAAAATATACAATAATGACAGGTTAAATATAGTTGTGCTAAAAGGTTTGCATACCCTTGGAGAATTGGTAATATATATACCATTGTGTAAAGAAAACCTCAGTGAGCAAGCAAAACACATGACTATTATTTCTTATGGGATTCATATTGAACTGTAGATCATAACAGAATGCCTACAAAAAAAAGCAGAAGAATGCAAATTGTCTGCCAGTATTTTCTGATAACATGCTACATTCATTTTGCCATCTATTTCCGCAAGATTCCCTGTGCCTTTAGCGCTCACACACCCCCAAAACATCAGTGAGCCACTACCATTCTTCACAGTGGGGATGGTATTCTGTTCACTATAGGCCTTGTTGACCCACTCCAAGCATTGCGCTTATGGTTGTGACCATAAAGCTCTATTTTGGTCTCGTCACTCCAAATTACAGTGTGCCAAAAGCTGTGAGGCGTGTCAAGGTGTTGTCGGACATATTGTAATCGGGCTTTCTGTGACATTGGCGCAGTAAAGGCTTCTTTCTGGCAACTTGACCATGCAGCTAATTTTTGTCCAAGTATCGTCGTGTTGTGCTCCTTGCAACAACCACACCATCTTTTCCAGAGCAGCCTGTATTTCTCCTGAGGCTACCTATGGGGTTTTCTTTGTAACCCGAACAATTCTTCTCGCAGTTTTGGCTGAAATCTTTCTTGGTCTACCTGACCTTGTTTTGGTATAAAGAGATTCCAGATTTTTCCACTTCTTCATAAGTGATTGAACTGTACTGACTGGCATTTGCAAGGCTTTATATATCTTTTTATATCCTTTTCAGTCTTTATAAAGTTCCAATACCTTGTTACGCACGTCTTTTTACAGTTCCTTTCTGCTCCCAATGTCTCAGTATCTGGCCTGCTCATTGCTTCCATGTGAGAGCTGACAAACTCATTGAATATTTATACGCAGACACTGATTGCAATTTAAAAAGCCACAGATGGGAGAAATTAACCTTTAATTGCCAATTGAGCTGTCAGTGTCACTTTGTGTGTCTGTAACAAGGCCAAACATTCAAGCATATATAACTGTTGATCAGGGCCATTTGGGTGTTTCTGTTATTATTTAAAAAGGAGCCAAACAACTATGTAAAAGAAATGTCTTCATATGATCACTGTCCTTAAATCAAAGACAGTTATTTTGCATGATAAGTCATATTTTCAAAATCAATGATCAAAACTTAGGAGCACAACTGTAGATAACATCCAAGAGCAGGAACCTAGGTGTAGTTGATCTAATTGGTAGCTTATTAATGCAGTTTCTAATTTTGTCTTTTCACAGCTACATCAACTAGTATTGACAGAAGTGCACCTATAGAAATAGGTTTGCAAAGGGCAACGCAAGGTAAGTTCACACCGTATTTGTTAAGACATTTGAAGAGCTAGATCCACCTGTAGTAATAATTCATTGTTTTATGAGCATAGATTGGTTGTTGTATTTTAATCTGTGATTACCACTTAATATACCATATCTTCCTACTATCTACAACAGTGGTTCTCATAGTGGGGTCCGCGGACCCCCAGGGGTCCTTAAGGGGGCTCCAGGGGTCCCCAGCAAAAGGGGAATAATTTCTTTTTACTATACATTACATCCACAAGTAACACAATAAAAAAACGTATGACTATTGGGTCTATTGACATGGGTTGCATAAATGTTCTGTAATAAAACATATAAAAGAAAAATTGTATCAAATGGGGGTCCCTGGTCTAATTTGTGTCAGTTTAGGGGTCCTTGACAAGAAAAAGTTTGAGAACCACTGATCATATGAACATATTTGCTAGTAAAGGTGTAGCATCTCAGTCTGGAAAGTTGGTACAAAACCAAAAAGACTTGAAGTGAAATAATACCACTTTTCTACTTTTTTAGTCAAACGAGCAGCAGATGAGGTATCTTCTGAAGCCAAAAAACCAAGGATTGAGGTAAACAGACGTGAAATATTTTCTGCCAACCATTTCTTAGTAGAAACATAATACTCGCATGTTGGTCAGTGCAGCTCTGGAGCATTTACTCCATTATCTCTATTTCACAAGCGTGAACAGTTCCAGTACAAATCTATTACTGACGGAGATGTTTTGTTTTGTTGTATTATTGGTAACAGCTGGATAATCAATAAGTTCTTCTTTAGTGAACCAATACAAAGGACAGCATGGAGCTCTTGTCCTGACTGACCAATGATTCAAAAATTAGACCAAAATATTGACATAATATAATTTGTTATCACATCATAGTTGCATAGTATAATAATTTAAAATAACAAACATTTAATTTATCATGTATGGTACATTTGGTTTTATTTGAAAATTAAAAAGCCTCCAGGAAATTTGCATTGTGAAACATTTGATTGACCATTTGGTTAGAAGATTTTTAGCCAAAATAAACTATTCTGTGTCTATGTTTAGTGATTAATTAAATTCTTTTTGTTGCAGTTACAATGCATAATTGTTGTTGCTCACATGCAAGGAATAAAGAACAGTGGTTGAATAGTTAACCATAGGGTTCCTTGTGGTGGACGGTGTTCTTCAAAACAAAGTGCATTGGTAACTAACTACAAATAAAACTGATCGTTTTGTTTTTATGTATAATCTAAGCGAGTGTTACTGTGAACATCCCTACATCAAGTCACACAAGGGTACTATACCAATAACTAACTAATTTACAATGAGGAGGTGACTTTT